ATGGTATCAACGCCATTCCGATCCAACCTTCTTTTTCCTTACGTGATTCTTACAATCTTTCTTGCGTGATCATCACTTTATCACTCTTTCTCTTTCCTTCTTTCTTGTCAATGGCACCACCACGCAACAACACTCCCATTGACCCTCAACTCGATCCTACAAGTCCGTATTTCGTTCACCCCAGTGATGGCCCAGCAACTGTCAAGGTTGTGCCACCTCTCACCGGCGGTAACTATCATTCTTGGGCACGCTCGATGCGTCGTGCTCTTGGCGCCAAGATGAAAATTGAATTCATCGATGGTTCAATTCCCATTCCTGAAGATTCATTCGATCCTTCAACCCGCGCATGGAACCGCTGCAACATGTTGATAATTTCATGGATTATCAACTCAGTTTCCGAATCGATAGCTCAGTCAATCGTTTACATGGAGAATACGCTGGATGTTTGGAACGATTTGAAAGAACGCTTTTCACAAGGTGATTTGGTTCGTATTTCTGAACTCTATCAAGAAATTTACTCTTTAAAGCAAGAAAATAAATCTGTAACAGAATTTTATTCTGAGCTGAAAATTCTCTGGGAAGAATTGGAAATATACATGCCTTTACCACAGTGCACATGTCGTGTTCGATGCTCTTGTGCTGCCATGAGAGATGCTCGAAATCATCACAATTTGCTGTATATTATAAGATTTCTTACCGGCTTAAATGAGAATTTTGCAGTTGTTAAGTCACAAATTTTACTCATGGATCCTCTCCCTTCCATGAACAAGATCTTCTCTATGGTGCTTCAACATGAACGCCAAGGCAATTTTGCTATTTCAGAGGATTCTCAAGCTTTGATCAATGTTGTAGGATACAAGAAGTTCAGTGCTAAAGGTGGTACTTCAAATACAGCATCTAATACTTCAAAGTCCAAGATTTGCACACATTGTGGTAGGACTGGCCACACAGTTGAAGTTTGCTATAGGAAACATGGGTTTCCACCTCATTTTGGCAAAGGTTCAACTGCAAATAATGCTAGTACAACTGAAGAACCAGATGACAATGGTGATCGTGCTTCAGCTTCACGTAATCAAGATGGGCAGCTCCCCATAACTCAAGAACAATATGCCACACTTGTGAACCTCCTTCAACAATCTAACATTCAACAAGGTTCATCTACTGCTACCTCTAATCAAGTTTACTCGTCTACAGTTACAGGTAACACATCTGTCAACATTCCAAGTAATCAGCAAATTTCTGTTTATAAGTGTGCTACAGTTCATTCTTGGATAATAGACTCAGGTGCCAGTGATCATATCTGCTCTAATCGAGCTTGGTTCCATAGTGTCAATTCTATAAAACCTATACATGTTAAGTTACCAAATGGTCAATTTGCCTTGGCCAAATTCATTGGTGTTGTTAAATTCTCTGATTTTTTTCATATTCCTGATGTTCTATATATCCCTGAATTTTCAGTCAATCTTATTTCTGTGCCCAAACTTTGTCAAACTAATCAATACAATGTCATTTTTCGTGCTTCTGATTGTTTTATCCAGGAAAATTCCTCTCTGAAGATGATTGGTTCAGCTGAAAAGATTGATGGATTGTATCATCTAATTCTATCATCCAAACTTGCTATCTCTTCTAGTCTAAACAATGTATCTGTCACCATTCCTAGCAGTGCCTTATGGCATTTTAGACTTGGACACTTGTCCTCGACTAGATTAGAAAAACTGCATGCTTCTTTTCCTTTTATTGATGTAGACAAAAATAGCATTTGTGATGTTTTTCACTATGCTAAACACAAGAAATTACCCTTTAATAACAGTTTCAATCATGCTTCTCATTTATTTGATTTAGTGCACTTTGATGTTTGGGGTCCCTTGTCCACTAAGTCACACAATGGTCATTCATACTTTTTGACTGCTGTAGATGATTTTAGCAGGTTTACCTGGGTCATTTTGATGAAATCTAAGGCAGAGATCAGGCAACATGTCATAAACTTTGTTAAGATGATTGAAACTCAATATCATTTAAATGTCAAATGCATTAGAAGTGACAATGGACCAGAATTTGCTATGTCCACATTCTATAATTCTAAGGGCATTATCCACCAAACAAGTTGTGTTGAAACTCCTCAACAAAATGGGAGGGTTGAAAGAAAACACCAAGACATTCTTAACATAGCTCGTGCCCTTCTATTCCAAGCTAATTTGCCCAAGAAATTTTGGTCATTTGCTGTTAATCATGTTGTTTTCATTATGAATCGTGTACCAACTAGAATTTTAAAACACAAATCACCTTATCAGTGTATGTTTGATAGGGATCCTGATTTGGAAAATCTGAAAACTTTTGGCACCCTAGCATATGCATCTACCCTGCAGGCACATCGTACTAAACTAGATCATAGGGCTAGGAAGTGTGTTTTCTTGGGTTACAAGCAAAATGTAAAAGGTGTTACGCTGCTTGACATTAACACACGTGAAACTTTTATATCTAGACATGTGACACATCATGATCACATCTTTCCACTTAAACCAAATTGGCAGTATCATACTCATGAAAATGTCAGTCTTGAGCCATCCACTGATATTTCATCTTTTGAGAACACCATTTCATCACATGATGATTGTATCACAAACATTCCTGATGTAACTCCCTCACAATCAGATGAGCCTTCATCAGATGATACATTTGTTGATACATCAGTTGATACACCAGCTGATACACTAACCACTCTTGACATTCATAATAATGTTAGTGTCTCACCACCATCTACCAGACCCAATAGAGTCAAACACACACCTTCTCACCTCAAGGATTATGTGTGCAATTCATCAAATACTTTGGCTGCATCATTCACTTCAGGTATATCTTATCCTATTTCTTCTTTTCATTCTTTTGATTATCTGTCTTCAAATCACAAGTCTTTTAGTCTTTCTATTACTCATGATACTGAGCCTAAAAATTATGAGGAGGCTTGTAAGAATGAAAATTGGAAACTAGCTATGCAAACTGAGTTAGATGCTCTTGCACACAATGGCACTTGGGTCATGGTAGAACTTCCACCTCATGTTAAACCTATAGGAAGCAGATGGGTTTACAAAGTAAAACATAGAGCAGATGGATCTGTTGAAAGATATAAAGCAAGATTGGTTGCTAAAGGCTATAATCAAGTGGAAGGGTTAGATTTCTTTGACACTTTTTCACCTGTTGCAAAGTTATCCACAGTGAGAGTACTCTTGGCCATTGCTTCTATTAATCATTGGCATTTACATCAGCTTGATGTGAACAATGCTTTCTTACATGGTGATCTAAATGAGGATGTGTATATGACTGTCCCACAAGGAATTACATGTTCCAAACCTAACCAAGTTTGCAAATTGCAGAAGAGCTTGTATGGTTTGAGGCAGGCAAGTCGGCAGTGGTATGAGAAACTTACTTCTTTGTTATTGCAACTTGGGTACACTCAATCCACTACAGATTATTCCATGTTCACCTTTACACACAAAAATGATTTCACAGTTTTGCTGGTCTATGTGGATGATATTATACTGGCAGGCACATCTCTCATAGAGTTTGATCGAATCAAGAACATTCTTGATGGTAAATTCAAAATCAAAGACCTAGGAACTTTGAAATATTTCCTTGGTTTAGAAGTTGCTCAGTCCAAGGAGGGAATCACTATATCTCAGAGGAAGTATTGTTTGGATTTACTCAAAGATTCAGGTCTCTTAGCATCAAAACCTGCCACCACTCCTCTTGACCCATCATTAAAACTGCACCATGATGACAGTGAACCTCTTGAAGACATCACTGTATTACGCCTGATAGGTAGACTAATATATCTAAACAATACCAGACCTGATATTACTTTGGCTACACAACAGTTAAGTCAGTTCCTTCATAAACCCACTCAGATTCATCATCAAGCTGCCTGCAGAATTGTAAGATACTTGAAAATGAGCCCTGGCCATGGTTTGTTCTTCCCAAGATCATCTAACTTACAAGTGTTAGGCTACACAGATGCAGATTGGGCTGGTTGCATAGACACTAGAAGATCAACCACTGGTTATTGTTTCTTTTTAGGTTCCTCTCTTGTATCTTGGAAAGCTAAGAAGCAACAAACAATTTCCAGAAGTTCCTCAGAAGCAGAGTATAGAGCACTTGGGACTGCAACATGTGAGCTGGTTTGGTTGATGTATGTTCTAAGAGATTTGCAAGTAACATGTGTCAAGCCACCTGTCTTGTATTGTGACAATCAAAGCGCAATTCATATTGCATCCAATCCTGTTTTCCATGAGAGAACAAAACACATAGAGATTGATTGTCACTTGGTGAGAGAGAAGATTCAGCAAGGCATGATGAGACTCCTTCCCATTGCCTCGAAGGAGCAGCTGGCAGATTTCCTTACAAAGCCCTTACAACCATCCAAGTTTCAGTCATTCATATCCAAGCTTGGCATGATAAATATATATCATGCTTAAGCTTGAGGGAGGCTGTGAAATTATACATTTGCCCTAGTTTTTCTGTTATTCAGTTAAGATGAGTTAGTTGCATTATACTTGTGGTGTATATATAGAACTGGTTGTATCCTTTTCATGTTTAAGCTTAATAATACAGATTTGCTTCATCTCTACTTGTTTTTCTTTCTTTCTTCTTTCTCCTCTAATGGAGATTTATAGTTTCTAACATAAATATTTAGGTGAAGTGAATAAAAAATGAAGAGATGAATTTAAGAGGTAAAATTTATTTATAACTAGAATATTTAGATATAATTTTATAGATATGGTTTATATTTTTCTTCAATAAAAATATAATAAATATATTTAAATATCTTTTAAAGAGTAAAAATAAGAAAAAACTACGAGAAAATTATACACTTATCATATTTTTATTAGAAAAAAACATAAATCATATTTAAGAAAATATACCTAATTTTTTCCTAAATGAAGATTTATAATAAGTAAAAGATGAATTACATTTTATTCATTACGTATATAAAGAATACAATAACATTACATAATAATACAACAACAAATCTTTGATTGGGGATCGTTTCCAATGCATCTAGCACCATTCTTATATCCGAAGAAAAAGCAAAAGCTTTCGCACTTTTGATCATCAGGGCAATTCTCAGGGCCAGCGCATTTATATATCGGTCCTGGAGGAACGGCATCTAAACTAGTTATGAATCCTGTTAACAAAAATAAAGATAAAGTTTTACATATGCGATAGACTATATTTCAAATCAAAAACATAAATATTAATGTTGTGGTAGCTCTACAATTGAACTACATCACGACTTGTTCAAAGTTAATTAATGGAAAAAATAAAACAGTTGATATTGAAATAACTAGTTTTTATTACCTGAGAGCAAAATAAAAACAACGCACAAAATCTCCCATAGTCGAGATTGATTGATATAACTAGCCATGGAATAGAATTTTACTTTGTATGCTAATAATGTCTAAGTTATCATGTTATATATATATATATATATATATATATATATATATATATATATATATATATATATATATATATATATATATATATATATATATATATATATATATATATATATATATATATATATATATATATATATATATATATATATATATATATATATATATATATATATATATATATATATATATATATATATATAATTTCGTGTAAAAATATGTTATTAAATAAATTGAGTTATTTAATATGGAAAAAATTTAAGTGCATTTCCTTAAGTGTAGTTTATGTCTTTTTTTTCCAATAAAAATATGATAAATCTATAATTTTCTCCTACACATGCAATTGTTTTCTATTTTTACTCTTTAAAAAATATTTAAATATATTTATCATATTTTTATCGAAGAAAAATATGAACCACGCCAATATAATTATATTTAAGTATTCTCTATTTAATATTATCAAACAATTTATACATCCATTGCTATAAATTATACGATTGAAATTTACATATATTTTAAATAATTTATATCAGATTGAAATAAATTGGTTTGTAAATATACTAAATAATATAAATTTGATCTTAGATTTCAATCCAACCGTTGAATTGATTTAATTCATTGAAAAATGAAAAAGTAGAAAGTTTTCATAATGTCAAAGCAAAAGTAAGGATGACAGACAGACCCAAATCTGTGAGATTCATCTAAACCTGAATCCGAGTCAACGTGTGAAAACTCGATTTGACTAAGTTCGGGTTCAGGTTCCGGTTTCACCTGATATTTTGGATGCGGATTTAGGTTCACTCAAACTCACACCCGAAAGTTGTAATTTAATTCTTTAATTTTTTTGAAAGACTTTGATGAAATTTTTGTGTTTCAAATTTTAATGTTGTTGTTGTATTTTTTGTGTTTTTGCCGCTTGTTCGGATTTGAGTGGAAAAACCCAAATCCAACGATAAACGTGAATGTTATTTTGTCATCCGAATAACTTTTGAGTTTGAGTTCGAGTTCAGATGATAATTTTATATGCGAATTTAGGTTATGTGAAACCCGCATCCGACCCAATTCTTTTTCATCCCAACACAAAAGATAGTCATAATAAAATTATATTTTAAAGCAAATATAGAAAACAATTTAGGGTAAATATAGAAAAAGATAAAGGAATATATATTTTAAAGGTAAATTAACTTTATTATGATGAAGAATAAAAGTTCAACATTTTGAAGTTATTTTTATATTATAGTTTTTTTTTAACAAATTTTTATATTATAGTTTTTTTTAAACAAATTTTTATATTATAGTTAAAACCTGAACGTGGCCGTATTTTTAAATGAAGTTTCAGTGAAAAAATAATTATTTGAAAAATAATAATGAAAATAATTAAGATTGAATTGTGAAAATAAAAGTGAAAATGGTATTGATATTTTAAATAAATAAAAAATTGTAAAAATGGTTGTTGCAAATTAAGTTGACTTGACGCAAGAGCAAGAAAAAATGAATTTTTTTTTTGAATAATCAAGTATTAAAAAAAAATCGTAAATAACCGCGTTTCGGAAAAAATTACGCAAATAACCATGTTTCAGATGACTCCTCAAAGGAGGAGCCATCTCACTTGGCGCCTACACTCATTTTTTAAGGGGAAGCGCCATCTCACTTGGCACCTATGTGCTTAGGGCATGCCCTAAGCCAAGTGAGATGGTGCCTATGTGTATTTCTAGGGCACAATTTGATTTTTTTTTTGGTCCAGTGCGTTGCGTATTGGATACAGGATCAACAAAATGGACTTTTTATTTAAAAAAATAATTACATCCAAATGTAGTACATTAAAAAACCAGATAAAAAAAACCAGATAAAAAAAAACAGATAAAAAAACAGGAAAAAAAACAGATAAATCAGTGATCCCCCGGAACCCGGTAATGACTCCCGGTTCTGCATCCCCGTCCTCGCCTTTCCCGTGCTGAGTGTCGTCGTGTTTCCTGCTGCGGCAGGGTCGATGGCCCAACGAAGTCAATGCGTTCCGGATCCATAAAATCAGTCAGATCTCCATATCTAGAAGATCCGCTTTGGTACAGTCGGTTACCCATACCCTCAAAGTTTGGTCGTGTTGGCGGTGGGTGGGGTTCCATGGTGGGTCTGTAGCATTGATCGCCTGAGTACGGTGGGTAGAAAGGAAATGGATCTTGGGGTGTTTGGTATTGAGGATGTTGGGTGGTTTGGTGATATTGTGGTTGATGGTAGGCTGGGTCGGTTTGTTCGTAATCTTCTGACATTCTCAGATCAGGGCTAAGGCTGGATGTTGAGGGGCCCATATTGAGATATACAGAAGACTGAAATTGCGTGTGGGGTATGCGGGTGTGTTGGTATTGTGATTGGTATTGTGGTTGGGTGTGAGGCGTATGGGGGTATTGGTAGTGAGGTGGTGATTGTGGTTGGTTGTGGGGCATTTGAGTGTAATTGTGTTGTGGTGGGGACTGTGGTTGGGTGTTTGTGGTTCTGTTTCTTCTGGGGGGTTGGTGGGAGGTTGATGGGTTTTGGGTTTGTTGTTGGGGAAACGAGGGTTGTGCCTATTGTGTGTGTGGGTCAACTAAGTACCTTGGATGAGACATGTGCATTTCAGGGTTACTAACCGACCTGTACCAAGATAAATATTGATCCGTGTGTCGCATATTACCATGATTAAGGAAAATCGGGAATTGCAAGACATAGCAGCGACGCCTCTGCCACATCTTACACCATTCCGGAGCGAAGTTTTTCCAGTTGGTAAGACCCCACTGGGCGTCGACCCTTTTGAGATGCCACGGGGACAAACAAGTTAGATCACTTGGTATCTCTTGATGCATTCTGAACTGCATCTTCACACGGTCACTGTGGTGCATCTTCATAATGTTGAACCGAATGATTGCAGTCTTCGCGGTCCAAATTGCTGCATCCTCCGGGTTTGGATCATGGCCCAAACCCAAATATGGTCTCCAGACGAACTGCGATAAAATTTAAATCAGGTTAACGAAAACGTAATATATAAATAATTTAAATGAAGAAAAGTTTAAAGGTACGACGTACATCATCCGGGCCTAAGTGATCCAACAGGTTGTGGTATAGTGCGACATTGAATCTTGGATTCTTGCCGTAATCCATACCCCTCACGCAATACCTAAAGAAAATGAAAAACATTTTATTTTTAGCATATATTTGGTGAAGAGATGAATAGTAATAAATGATATAACTTGATGACTTACTTTATTGCGTACGGGAAAACGAAAGTGTTGTTGTTGACGGGGTTTAAGGACTCCATCCTCCACCAACCCCAGGCTTGTAGTAAAAAAGCGCACCCATAAAATGTACATTTTTCCTTGACTGCATTTTTGCACAAGGAACTGTATAGGTGGGCTAAAACTGCAGAACCCCAACTATACTTTCTTGTTTTTTCAAAATCTCTAAGTAAATGTAAATACATAAAATTTACACTATTTCCCGTACTTTCGGGAAATAAAAAGGTACCAAATAGTATCATAAGATAAGTTCTGACTTTTACTATCATGTCTTGCTCGGAGGAATTTTCGTTTAATTCCAAACTTGCATAATGAATTTTAAGCTCAGTGAGTAGTATTCTCTGACCTCTCGCACCACCACCTTCTACCATATCCCTGTCCAACAGCTCTTCACACTGAGAGTTGGGTTGTTGAATTGACCCGTTCACGGCCTTACCGTCGACAGGGAGACCTGGTAACATGTACACATCCTCTAGCGTGACAGTACATTCACCTATTGGTAGGTGAAATGTATGGGTCTCTGGTCTCCACCTTTCCAACATTGCAAGAATGAACTTCGAATCAATTGTGCAGTTGGAGATCTTTATAACATGTCCAAAACCTGCGTATTCCAGATATGGTACGATAAATGGGTCGGGAGCCAGGTAGTTGTGAGAACGGATTCTGAATCTTTTGGTATCCTGAGTTCATAATGTAAAAGGTGTAAGATTAAGTAAGATGAACAAAGCATTATCTGAAGTATGAAAAATGTATAACCAAAATAGAAACTTACAAATGCGGCAATGTTTTCCCTTGTGCCTCTGTGAGAATCGCCCATTGTTAGAAGAGCCATTGTTTAAAATGCTTGAGATTATGAAATACTTAGAAAGTGTAAGAGAGTATGAAAGACTTATAAAGTGTAAGAGATTATGAAAGATTTCGTAGCAGAGAGTGAGACTTGTGTGGGTGTGAGAGATGTATGATATGGTCTGTATTTATAGGCAAAAAAATTTCATAGAGTGAGTGAGGTGGTTGTTGGTGCAGGCATACATGAGAAGTGTCACTCTTGCAGGCTAGGTGGCAGCCTAGGGGGTTACATATCTGCATGCATGTACAAAAATGAAAGGTGTCACTCTTGCAGGCTAGGTGGCAGCCTAAGGATGTAACACGATTGGACAGTAAGGGAGGCGCCATTGGACTTGGAGAAAGAGTACAAAAATGAAAGGTGTCGCCATCCCAATTGGCGAATAAGAGGTGTCATTGGTTGCAGGCTAGGTTCAGGCTACGTGACAGCCTTTGGGATGCCATGCCTGAATGCATGTAACCCTATTGGAGGTGATGGGAGGAGACTTACAAGATACAGTGTAGGTGCAGAGTAGGCGCAAGCTAGGTGGCATCCTAGGGGGTTACATATCTGCATGCATGTAAAACGATTGGACAGTAAGGGAGGCGCCATTGGACTTGGCAAAAGAGTACAAAAATGAAAGGTGTCGCCATCCCAATTGGCGAATAAGAGGTGTCATTGGTTGCAGGCTAGGTTCAGGCTACGTGACAGCCTTTGGGATGCCATGCCTGAATGCATGTAACCGTATTGGAGGTGATGGAAGGAGACTTACAAGATACATTGTAGGTGCAGAGTAGGCGCAGGCTAGGTGGCATCCTAGGGGGTTACATATCTGCATGCATGTAACACGATTGGACAGTAAGGGGGGCGCCATTGG